GCAAATGGAATATCGCACAGTAGCCAGTGTTTCTGGTGGCTGAATTCAAAGGCTGAAATTAACCCCACATGGAGGGCTGATTCCAGCTGCACTTACACTAACAGTACTTTTCAAAGGGAGAGACCTAAGGGTTCAGAAAATAAGTGTATTGATGTAGTATTTCATACCAATTTAGTGGCTGTACTATTTGCTTAAGAAAAAACAAGTAGGTTGTTTTAAGATCTAACATACCTTTATAAACACTATAGTAGGATATTAAGACAGTGGACCTCAAACTTGTTTGGAAGTCTGGGTATGTAGGGAATAAGATCAAACACCTGCAAAGGTATAAACCAGGAACTAACTGATTAACAACAAATCTAACTATGTCATATGGAAGTGACAGAAAATCAAACCCACAAGCACTACTGTATGTGAACAGAGAAAAGCAAAGCAATTCAGTTAGTGGACTGAGTTGTGTGGGGTTTTTTTCCATTTTATTTGTTGCTGTTTAATTATTTTGTCTCTGGCTAGCATCTGTTGACAGGCAAGCATTAGCAGGGGCCAGAAGTATAAGAAATATTCACGGACAAAAAACTTAAACTGGGAAAGTTCTGGACATCAGTTTGACTTTTGTTGCCATTTCTTACTTTGAGTGCTGGAACAGACCTCAGCTCCCATCTCGGGACATGGGAGCAGAACGTGGGGACCACAGTGTTCAGAGGTGCAAACCTTGTTCAGTAACTTGCATTCAACTCTGCCAGGGGACAGCACTTCTCGCCAGAATCCTTGGTAGAAAATATAACTCTAGACCTCTTCGACAACACAAGTGTGAGAGCCCCATAACTCCACCCAGCCGGCAAACTCTGAGTTCCTGCGGCATTTAGGGGTCCATTTTCAAAGCCTCCAGGACAGCTCTCGGAACCCTGACCTTGCTCAGATGAGAGGTTTTGAGGGAGCATCCCTGGAACTCTTCTATGACCAGAGGAGTCACTGTGAACCTGCATCTACTTGAACAATTTTCCAAAGCAGAGCCGCCTCAGCCTGACTCTCAGATTCGCATGCTTCAATGGTAATGTGTTCACCGCAGTTGGCCCAGAGCAGATCCACAGAAAATTCCTGGCTTGGCCGCAAGGGTGCCCTTGGTCCACAGTCTCAGGGATGTAGGTGGCCATCCACACTGGCAAGACCTTGGTCAGGCTGAGCCGGGCCCTTGAGATTGAAGGCAACTGCCCACGTGCAGCTTGGAATTTTAAAGAGCTGGACTCCACCCTCCTTCACGGAATCTCTGCAAACAGGTACCTTGTCAGAAAACGCCATTTGGGCTGAAAAAACATGTTACTGAATGAGATGCTTCTCTGTGCTTGTTTTCTCATCTATGAAATGGGGATAATGTGAGTTTCTTACCTCATAGGGTTGATGTGAGGACTGCAGGAGCTATATTACGTAACGTACACAGACCACTGAGAGGCGGCTGCTGCTTCTTAGTAGTAGTATAACTACTATTACTGTTTTATCACAATCTATCCATTCCTTCAGATCAGTGTTTCCCAAATATTATTCATTCACATGGCACTGTCCTAAACTTCTTGCTGTTTTCACTATCATGTATTTAGTATTTTTCTTTAAGCTAATTTACTACTTTCTCCTTAAATTTATTTTAAAAGGGAACTGTACGTCACGGTGGTAAACGGAAAAATAGAATTCTGTGCCATAACTAGAAGGCGAATATAAAAACAAATACAATGAAAACAAAACAACGTAATTAATTACACTCGAGTCTGCTGCCTGCCCAAGGCGCTGATCGTGAGCCTTCCTCTGTCTCTGCTAAAAAGAAGGATTAGAAGGCATGAAAGGCACAGTGGCGACACGCAGAGACTTTCTCCTCTGCAATGAAAGATCTAGGAAGGCTGGCCTTCTCCGTGCAGAATTTGTTATTTAATGTCTAGCCTCTGTCTTTCTAAAACCTTACTGAGCACACATCTTGCTTTCGCCACTCTGGGAGAGACTGTTAGATCATCACTTTCCACTAGAACTTTCTGTGATGGTGGAGATGTCCTCCATCTGCATTGTCCAATATGGGAGCCACTAGCCACATGTGGCTATTAAGCACTTGAAATGTGGCTACCATGCCTGAGGAACTGAATTTTTAATTTTATTCAATTTTAATTAATTTAAATTTAAATAGCCACACGTGGCTAGTGGCTGTTGTATTGGATAGCGCGGGCTATTGAGAGAACTATGTGTGCTGATCCTTTCATGTTGGCTCTCCAAATGAACTTAGGCTCACCATGAGGTTATACCCTTGGCTTCTTTTGAGGGAGATCTTACGAAACCTGTCAGTGATTCGTCATATGGATGTGACAGGAAATTATCTACTATATCCTTCATTATTGTTTAATCTAAAGCCTCTGGTGGAAATTTTTTTAGAGCTCCCTTTGAGAAACTGACATATTTTCTTCTCATTAGCACTCCAAAATAACCACATTTCCATTTTCACACTGTCTGCCAGGAAGCCCAAAGGAAATTCACAAAGCAATGAGAATAAACCGTGTAGGATTCTCATGACAGATATACATGATTTCCACTGTTTCCTTAATGGAAACTCTCTCAGTTTACATTTTCTCTGACTTGGGTGTTTTATTTTTTACTTCTATTTGACCATTCTTTTCTATGAGTTTCTCTAGAAATTATCTCAAATCTTCTGTGGAATTAGATAGAATGCATTTTTTTTTAACTAAGAAAAATAACGTCCAACAGTACCAGTATATTAAATGAGTCACTTTCTACCCAATACCGTTTATGGTAAAAACCTTGTAATAAAGGCTTTCTAAAATGCTTCTACACACATGCTCAGATTTTCCTCTCGAGGCACCAATCAGAAGCATCGTTAGCTAAAAGAGAAAAACAAGTACATTCAAGAGGTGCCACTTCACACACTCCAACATCAAGAAAGGTTTCGGGAAGCCCAGGGTGTGAGCTAAAGTTGCTATGGGTGATGTGGGAGCTGACAGGCACGTGATTCGATGAAATCGGGGCCACGTCCTCCGCGCACCGGCTGGACCACGCCCAGGAAAGCTCTGACAACAGTGAAGGATGGGGCGAGAGTGGCTTGAATGTCATTGTGATCACTGTGGAAACAATCTCCCAGGCAATGGCATATTTGCTGTGTCCATCTCATTTCACAACTGACTTTCAGAAGCTAAAATCTGCCAAGTCCTGGGGTGAGGGGGAAAGAGTCAAAACTGAAAGGTCAAGGAAACCTCTCATGTGAGATCACACTTCAATTTCGCCCTAAAATAAAGCTGTCTGCTTCACTTTCTTCATCCTCCAGGCAACACCTCCCAGCTTTCTGATGACTGCAAAGCAGAACTTGAAGGACACACAGATCAGAGGGTCTTTTTTTCATTTGTTTGGGGGGGGGCATAAAAAGAGAAAGAAAGAGAAGAGGATATTTGGAAATCTGTCATATCTAATTCTCTTTTCAAGCCAGAGCTGAGAGCATCATGAACACTCGGATTCTCTAACACTTATGACAGTGCTACTGTTGCTGCCCAGCTGAATAAGTAAACTACAGTGACTTCCTGGTGCCAGCTGCCTAGGCAAACTCTAGCTCACCTGTCCCTAAGATTTTAGGTAAGGTGTGTGTATCATATATACCCATTCCTCTGTGACACACACCCACCGCCAGTCTTGTCACCAAAGACCAAACATGGTGATCATTTTGGAAGATGAGAAATGAATACTGAGTGTCTACTGGGCGCCATATGTTTGTAAGCCTGACAACAGCTTTGCAAGGTAAGCATTATTATTATTTCCATTTTACAGATGAGGAAACCGAGATTTACCTAAGGTCAAAAAATTCAAACCAGGGCTTCTGTTTTCAAGTTCAGGGCTGTCTTTTCACCACCCAGTCTCTGAGGGACATATCTTCAATGGGTCAATCCCCCACTAAGAAAAATGGCAACAAAACTCAAGGCTTTCACAGAGCTCACGGGGAATAAGAACAAAACCCAAGGAAGTTGTGATACAAGAAGACAGTAGAATCAGGAAGCAGCTAAGAGTCAGAGTTGAAAACAAAGCAGTCTCAGGACCAGTGAACACCAAAGGCTCCAGCAAGAAAAAGGAAGAGAAAGACGACAACAAAAAGAGGATAAGTAGGCGGAGCTGGAAGAGGCATCAGGAAATCAAAGACAAGATGGAAAACGGGGGTCCCAGTTGTTAGGGAAAAATCACCTCCAAAGCAAAGGTCCCACAGTCACAGACACTCAGTCCCCAACCAGGGGTGGCCAGCTCTACCCCAAGGAGCAGAGAAGACATCACAGTTTTTGCTTGTCAACTATCCATTGCCCCCTCTTTGGAAAAGAGTCACCTGGTTTTTACTTGGGGAGCCACCTCTCCCTCTCGTGGACACGTAGTTGGATGAGGTCAACTCCAACTTCAGCACCAGCAGTTGTCACACGATCCGAACCTGGCCAATCACATTAGTCCATCACCCAACCCTGAGGTTTAGGGGTGGGCTATGATCCAAGGCAGACCAGTGAGAGATACTAGGACTTGGCTGAAAGCATCCAGACAGGCTGAGAGCCTGGCGCAGCTGGGAGCCATCTCATCAACCTGCAGAGAGCGCCAGCCTGAAAAGGACGCCAAAGTATAGGAAACAGGAGATGGCAGCAGATTCCCGACCACAGGTCCAGGCATGCCTGAGGCCGGACCTACGCCTGGACTTTTCAGTTGCAACACCAGCCAACAAATCCCATTCTGCTCAAGCAGTCCAAGCCAAGATTCTGCAGTGGACACACTAAGAGGCCGGACTGGAACGTCACTCTGCTCCCTCCTGTCTGAAGGATGGGAGGACCACTTCCCTCAGGGAGGCTGGGCAGCTGGAATGCTGGCTTCTGGAGGCTGTGGCTTCCAAAGTACAAAGCTCCGTCACCAGGAGGCAAAAGCACCACAGTGTGACAAACCGGTCTCAGTTCACCCAGCGGTGACGTCTGACTAACTGAAAACCGGGCGCTTACCTGATACACATGGAAGGCGCTCGCTGCTTTGCCCCGGAGAAACACTGACGGGATCCAAACGTTAATCAGTGCCCGGTTTGATCTAACCAAAAGAAAAACCAAAATGGGTCATTTCAATTTACCAAAAAAAAAAGAGAGGAAACTATTTTCTCCTCTAAGAGGCACTATGCACGAACAATTTATGACAACCTCTATTACACTTAATAGTCAGCCAAAGGACCAGTTTATGTCTCATCACTTGGTCCCCCAAGATCATTTTTAAGGGACTTAGTTTAAAAATATATGTACATACGTTTTATTTATATATGCAGTTTGTGTTCTGGAATGAGAAAGAGCTGCCCTTCAGTTCTTACTAACTGAGTGACCGGGACCCATACTTTATCTGGACCTCAGTTTCCTCCCAGGAAGGAGGAGATAATGACTGGAAGCCCCCAATGAGGCTGTGGAGGGTCGTGTGCAGTGACACTCACAGGGTTTCTGCAGCACTCAGGGGAGTGCACTGCCTCCTCACGGCACCCACTTTAGACCCTGACCCCCACTTTAAGATCGGACTCCACCAAAGAGCTCAGCAGATCAACAACCATGGCTACTGGGGTGGAGAGGGGAAGACAGAAAATGACACCAAAGTTGAGACACCAGGCAGCCAGGCGCAAATATCCTTCTTTCAACTTTTCCAAAAACACCGTGTATATGGTTCTAATAAAGCAAGATTTACATTCAAATACAAAATCATTTACTGAATATCTACAACATATGGCTCCATGCTTTTATCTATATTATCTCAGTTAATCCTCATGTAGGCTACTTAAGGGATTTTCAAGGGTTATTTGGGTCCTGTGTCAGTTTTGCCTTAATGTGATGACTTTAAACTTAACTTATGAGTCACCTGGGATACACACCCGCCATCACCACACTTCCACCTGGCTGGATCCCAATCATGCAGAGCTGATAAGTTGACTGTCACCGAAACTTCAAAATCAATCATAACAGCTATCAAAACGATACTGTCGGGGCCAGCCCGGTGGCGCAAGCGCTTAAGTGCTCATGCTCTGTTGCGGTGGCCCGGGGTTCATTGGTTCGGATCCCGGGCGCGCACCGACGTACCACTTGGCAGGCCACGCTGTGGTGTCGTCCCATATAAAGTGGAGGAAGATGGGCATGGATGTTAGCCCATGGCCAGTCTTCCTCAGCAAAAAGAGGAGGATTAGCAGATGTTAGCTCAGGGCCGATCTTCCTCACAAAAAACAAACAAACAAAAAAAACGATACTGTCCAATTCTGGAAGGGCTGGGAGGCTCCAGCCCTTGCTTCTACTTAGAGTTGTTCCAAGGCTAAAGGCTTTTTCCAGAGCTCTCCTTCTCTCTAAAGAGCAGCTCATAAAAATTCACCAGCCTCCTGTGCCTGGAACATAATTTGAGATGTCGCTGATGGAAGATTCCATGACTCAACAGTCTCACAACCCCTAGAGTCAAGAACATTTTATTTTCACAGAGAAATGGTTCTCTCCTGAAGCAGTGTTTCTTCTAAGCTCTGAGCTGAGGTGCTGACCTCCTTCACGGGGCAAAATAAGCCCTATTGATCACATCCCCAGGGCTCCAAGTACAAATTGCAAGTCTGAGCCAGCAAATTGGTTTGTATATCTAACGACATTCCTTCTTTAAAGGTCCCAAAATTGTACTAGTAGTGCCTAGAGTGTTCCCCTTTTATTTCTGTCGGGGCGGGAGGGAGGGTTGCAGAAGTGTAATTAACACTCTGGTTGTCATAACCTTCCTGGATTGGTGAGGGCTGGACAGCCTCCCAGGGCTACAGTGAGGTTACCCCAGACTGGGTTAGGTGCTTCTCCCTTTCAGCGCATTTACCACACTGTATTAGAATTGACTGTTTACATAACCATCTCCCTCCTAGATATTAGTGCACTTTTCATTCTTTTTTGTTCACTCATGCATTAAACAAGTACTTATTGGGAACCTACTATGCCCTGGACACCAGTTTAGGTTCTGGAGACAGAGCAACGAAGAAAGTAGATGTGGTCCCTGCCCTCATGGAGTGCCCAGTTTAACATGGGAGAGAGACAAACCCCCGTAAAATTATTCCACTGTGGTCAAAGAAGATACTTTGTATGAGTCCCATCTTTTTAAATTTATTGCGACTTGTTTTGTGGCCTAACATATGGTCTATCCTGGAGAATGTTCCATGTGTACTTGAGAAGAATGTGTGTGTATTCTGCTATTGTTTGGTGGAGTGTTCTGTATGTCTCTTAGACCTAACCGGTGTTAGTGTTTATAACTGGTTTATGGTGTCGGAACAATAAAAGTCTTCTTTTCCTTATTGATCTTCTCTCTAGTTGTTCTTTCCATTGCTGAATGTGGGGCAGTGAAGTCTCCAACTATTATTATATAACTGTTTTCCCCTTCATTTCTGTCAATTTTTTACAACATATGTTTTGGGACTCTGTTGTTAGGTGCACATATATTTATAATTGTTACATGGAAATTATTTAATTACCATTGTTGTCAGTGCCACCAACAATGGAAGGAATACTGGCTCTAAGGAGAGTGAACGAGGGCAGGGGTGCTGCTTCTCTGAGGAAGCAGTGTTTAAGCTGGGCTTTGAGGAATGCTAAGTTAGCCAAGCTGGGGAGGGGAGGTTGAGGTTGAGAGAGATGCTTCAGGCTGAAGGATTAACATCTGTTAAGGGCACAGACTCTAGATCAAGACTGCCAGGGTTTGAATCCTGGCTCGAATCTGTCATCTGTAGATCATAACCATGTCAGAGGGTTGTTGTAGAGACTGAGTGAGTTAGAACAATGCCTAGCACAGAGAAAATGCTGTGTAAGGGTCAGTTAAAGCAATAAAATAATGCTCCTGAGTAGCGAAAACCAAGCGAGTTAAAGGAGTCGAATCAGACAGGGTGGCTGGTGTGCACCCTGGGGACAGAGGAGGACAGAAGCCAGAGGTCAACAAGGGCCTTCTTTGCAAGCTACACGAAGGATATGGGTCTCCATTTCGAGACAGGGAAATGGCACTTCCTTCTGGCTTTAGTGGAGATGGTGGGAGGAGGTTGCAAATCTCCAGCGGAGAGTTGATGTGTCTGGGCCAGGCAGAGGCTGCTTGAGGGCAGGGATTGCGGCTTATTCATCTCCTCCATCAAGAACCTGGCATGACACCTCCCTGTAGTAGATGCTTGATAAATTCTTGCTTTAATAATGAGTCCCTTTCCCTCACACTGACTCATCTCTGGGATCTTCTCTATGGCTTTCACCTCTCTTTCCAGCTTACCCCCACCCTTGCCCTCCACCAGGCTGCCATTCCATTCTCCTCTTCACACTGTACTCCCCTACCCACAGTCCCATGGAGGCAAACTCAGCATTGACTTCCATCCTTCACCTCTTAACCATATTGACCTCCTCACCCTACCAACCTAGCACCCACCTCCCTCCTCTACCACAGGCACCCAAGCACCAAGTGGCCTCGTGATATCCTCCACGTTTTCCATATTCCCCCTCTAATTGCCACCACAGCCCTGCAAGGCTGGTGTTGTGACCTTCACCTTATTTATTTATTTATTTAAAAGATTTTATTTATTTATTTTTCCCCCCAAAGCCCCAGTAGCTAGTTGTATGTCATAGCTGCACATCCTTCCAGTTGCTGTATGTGGGCCGCGGCCTCAGCATGGCCAGAGAAGCGGTGCGTCGGTGCGCGCCCGGGATCCGAACCCAGTCCGCCAGCAGCGGAGCACGCACACTTAACCGCTAAGCCACGGGGCCGGCCGGACCTTCACCTTATGAATAAGGATAAACTCAGGCCTAGCAAGGTTAAGTGGCTTGCCCAAGGTCACACCAATGTGAGTCCTGTAGTTGAGATTTCAACATAGGTCAGCCTGGCTCTGACAAAATGCTCTTTCTGATGTCCTGCACTCTCTTTCTAGAAGCAGGCTTTTCTTGGATGACACCTTCTCTCAGGGAGGCTGAACTTTCCTCCACTCAGCACAATTGAATGAGAGAGGAAGGAGGTTCTGCCTGGGCTTAACCCAGGACTCTTTCCACTCTCTGTACCAGCCCAAGGGGATGATGTGTCCAAAATCAAAGCAACCTGATCAGAAATAATCAGTCTGAAAACCAGCTAAATTCCTTAGGGGTTACCAGCAGAGGCTCCAGATAGAGTTAAATCCAATAAAAAAATCAGACCAATGTACTGAACTATTGTTGTTTCCAATAACCCAGGGGTTGTAAACTTAATTTAACAGGAGACACATAGACAATGAAATGAGTGAGGTGGGCCAGACTCAGGCAACAGGGAGAAGTGGGGACTGCAGTAAGCCAAAGAGCACTTGCCCTGTGTGAAGAAGGCAGCAGCTACTCAGCTCTAGCTGAGTGTGGCCTGGCAGGTATTTGAGTCTTCTTTTAAAGAAAATACATAAATTTAAATTTTTATGTGATATCTTCCAACCATAAATGTCAGCCAAAAAGTAAATTGTTTTTCAATACCCAAGGGGAAAGATAAAACACATCTGAAGGCCAGACTCAGGCTGCAGGCGAACTCCCCACCTCTACAATAACCAAATCAGCCTGTGCAGATTTAAACAGTGATTTGTGCTTCCTCCTGTGGTCTTCTGGGACACAAGCCAAATAACAGAGGCCTATTTCTACAGGGCCCTCAGGAGCAGACGCCGTGGACTTACATTTCAAAATCCGACAAACTCTGGTCTTCGGATGTTTGACTCAAATCTCCAGGCACCTGCCAACAGGAGAGGGGGAAGCGAGAGAGAGAAAACGCATCATGGTCACCATGGTTCATATAATCATGGAAGAATTCTGCCTCTCAATGGTCCCTGAACATTTCCTGCTCAGAATGAGATAAAAAAGCAGTTACTGGAAAACAATAAGAGATTTCGTGGAGGGATTGTTAGAGATGGTGTTACAGAGATAAAAACATGCCACCATGAGAGATCTCAATTATCTTCAGGGAAGGACCGTTAATCCTATTGAGAGAATCGTGGGCATGTATAAAAGCATGTAATTTAGGAGCTATAAAGGCCTAATTAGGATCCGAGATGCAAGATATCAGATGTGCAGGGGAAAAAATATCCATTGTCATCACGATGAACATCACACACACAGACACACCTAGTGTGTGAACACGAAAAACCAACATCTGCCCCCCAATGGCTCTATCCTTTCCCCTCACAACGCACAAGCAGTTTAAGGCAGCAGAACAGACTTCCTTTTCTGACTCAGGAGGGCCCAGGAGAACATGGCTGAGTGAAAGAGATTAAACTGCCTGGCATGATGGCAGTTATTAAAAGCAGAGAGCAAAGTGGCCAGACCAGTAGATGCTCAATAAACGGTGATACTGTCACAGTCAGGGAATGAGCTTCCTTTCGTGATCTGATCCAATACGAGCTGGCAAGAATTTAAGAATGTGGACCAAAACTAAAAGGAACCAAGTGGAACACAGAAGGGTGGGGCGTAGTGAGGGAAAGAGAACATTATTTCAAGCTTTGCACCTGTCAGAGCTTTTGTGTTATCCACAATCTTCATCAATCTTGATAAGAATCCCAGGGGTGGTATTATCCCCCCCACTTTATAGATGAGGAAACTGAGGCTCGGGGAGGCTGCAGAATTTGCCCAAGGTCACACAGGTAGGATACGAATCCAGGTCTTTTCCAACTTCAAAGGCTTTTCTGCTATAAACCCTCAGCAAACAGAGGAAAAGCCAGCTAAAAGGTGAAAGGAGAGGGTGAGACTTGAAGAAGTGCAGCCCTTACAGAGGGTTAGAAGACACTAGAAGGTCTTTGGAGGCACATGAACGCAGTGGTTATGGAGCCCACGTCCTGGGGCCACACAGCTCAGGATCAAATCTCAGCTCCACTTCTTCCTGACTGTGTGACCACGAGCAAATCACTTGCCTTCTCTGTGTCGCACTGTCTTTCTTTGTAAAATGGGTAGATAGTAGTAATACTCATAGGGTTGTCTTGAGGACAAGCTTAGTAAAACCTGTAGACTATGCGGAACAGCGCCTGGCAGGTAGGCAGTCCTCAATAACTGACTGTGCCCTATAATAACAGCATGACAATTATTGAGAAGAGCAGTACATTCCGTTATCCTTGACACCAGACATAAAATCTGTCCTGCCAACCCAAGGGGTATCTGTCACACCATATATGGCAGCCCAGAGGAAGAATGATCCAGCCTGAGCCCTTTAGCGACGTGTGGAGCTAAGCAATTAAACTGGGCCCAGGCAGCAGACTTTGCTAAGAAGCTGCTATTGAGAGATTCCTTCCAACCCAACAAGGAGAAACCTGCCTGGCCGCTTGAGAGAACTGCACTTTCAAAAGAGCAAGAACTCGCTGGGCTGGGGGTTGGTGCTGTTAAGGTGTTGCTCTGCTGTTATGGTGACTGGCATTTTCCTGTGGGCTGCTGGGAGAAGAGGTGGTACAATCTACTAGGGAAGGCATGAGACTGTGGGTACCAAGACCTCTAAAAACATCCACATCCTTTGACCCAGAAATCACACTCCCAGCATTTATCTAGAGAAAACAGTCAAAGACACCAACCAAAATTTACACTGAAGATCATTCTGATTTCCATTGCTTAAACAAGTAAAAAAAAAAAAAAAAAAAACCAGCAAGCAATATAAATGTCCCATGATAGAAGAATGATTCAAGAAATTATGACATGTCTGTGTGAGACAAGTAGGTTAAAAACAAAAGGGTTAGACATGCATGAGAGTACAAGCATAAAAATAATCCTGGAAAAGTATCCAAGAAAACAGTAACAGTGGCTATCATTGATAATAGATTAGGAGTGGGACCAGGAAGAAAAAGAGGCTTATTTTTCATTTGCTATCTTTCTGTAAGATGTTTAAAAATGTATCTTTTGAATGAATTGCTTTAAAAAAATTTAAACATGCTTTTGAAGAATGAGATCACTTTCCATGTGCTGTTCTGAAAAGATCAAGACTGATCATCAAGTGAAAGCAAACGCAGGGTACAGGCAGTGGGTCTAATACACTACCTTGGGTGCAAAAACGGAGAATTAAGTATATCGAGTTGTATTTGTTTTTGCATCAAGAAGGCACAGCAGTGAAATTCAAGACACCAATAAAAGGGGCACCCTGTGGGTGCTGGGGCCAGAGGCCCAGGCAGCTTGTGCACGGCACAAGGCTATTTAACATCCTTTTATATCATTTGAGTTTTGAAATAATGTACTACCAATTAAAAATTTAAATAAAAATGTATTACCCTACCAAAAGAGTGCTTTTGATAAATTTTTAATGGCACAGAGAAAAGCTCCTGCTCTCTGTTTAATACAAAGCTGCTATGAACTGTAAATGCCCAGTGCGTGTGATTCCTAAATTTAACTTACAGTGTCCGTGTATCAACAAGGTTAGAATGAAAGAGATCCGAAAGACAACAGGGGGATATCTCTGAGGGAGCAGTCAGATGAATCTGTAGTATGAATTTGAACTTTTCTGAACTTTCTAGAATGAAGAGGCATTAATCGTGTAACCATAAACAGATACATATCGTATTACTGTGTAAAGTAAATAAAATATTCTTTCCAATCCTTCCCCACCCCCAAACGCATTTCATTAGAATGCAGACGGCCAAATGGAAGAGACTTTGCCTTCAAGCTCTTTCATGTGCCAGGGACGGAAGAGGGCAGAGGAAGGCTCTGAAGGCACACCTCCCTCCAGACACTGCTTTCCCCCCGGAGCTTCCACACGGAACCCCACGGAGCAGCCGGGACTCCAGCATCTTCTCTGGTGGGGCCGTAGGTGGCTCTCGGCCTCTCCTCTTGTCTGAGCTTTCCCCTCAGCACCTGAGTCTGGGGAAGGTTCTTCTGGCATCACGTGAGGATCAGGTAAGCAGATCTGAGGAGGGATTCAGACTATGAAGACACCAGCTGCCCCATTACGCCCATCATTACACCACCTTTAAATGCAGCCTCATTTCAGACTGGAAGTGAACAGAGCTCATCCCCAGGGAACCTCATTCACAAGAGGGAAGGTTCTGACTGCATCTACCCCACAAAACTGAAGGGAAGGGTGACCACAAGGACCAAAGGAAAAGACGAGGTGGGGTTTTCAAGGACAGGCATCACTTTATAATAAGAAGAACAAAGAAGTTCTTCAAAAACGATTGATTCTTAGAAGAAGGCATTTTCTTGACAGATAAGTTCCCCCTCGGGGATGCTGATTTTTACGGAACATTTTGGACAGTGGATGTAAGTAGTGGGGATTTGTTAAATCCTTCCGACTTAGGAGCTTTTCTTCTAATTATATGGCATTATTGACATCAGCAAGCCAGGATATATTTATGTGTCTACGAGTTTATGAGTTCTGGGGAGCTGGCTGAAAAAAACAATCTGTGAATGTTCTGACCTCTGCGGAACATATCTTGAAAGTCAGGCCAGGCTCTATAGCAACTGCATGATGATAATTGATGGCCAAACTTATCAAACATCTTAAAATTTTGTCTTTTCATACTGTCTACCCAGACTGGTGCTAGATAGCATCTGAAGTTTACAGTAACCATCAAGAAAGCTGGTTTTACTTCATATTGCAGCAGTAAAAATACGTGTAGGGCAGAGAGTATTTTGTAAGACAAACCAACTTTCAAATGATACTGGCCACAAATATCCCTGGGGACCTCCTGAAGCCCCAGGGACTCTTGGAGGACACATCTCTGGGATGAAGCCTTCTCTACATGAGGCATAAATAAGTGATCAACAGCAGGGTTGTCTTCCTGCTCCTCCCCGACCCTACAGAGGAGGCAGCTCACCATCTGGCCTGTGGTCTGGGGAATCGTGGCGGTGCTGGGTGCAGGGAAAGGCAGAGCCCATTACCGGAGACACAAAGCAGCCAGGATTGCTAGACCTCCTGGAGCAAACACCTCAGGTGCTGCACACACAAGCACTGGAGTGACAGACGAAAACCACAGAGAATCAACGTCTGGGCTATATCAGCAAAGAAGCTTCCACAAACTCGTCTGGTCCAGGATTTCCTGGATTGCTCAGCGGCTGGGGAGCAGGGACAGGCCAGCCAACAGCAGCCCCCTCACAATGCCAACATGCCAGCGTGGAACTCGGACACTGGCTCACCCTGCCACTCTGAGTGGGGATTCCTCAAACCTAGGAAGAAGGTTCAGATACTAGAGGTTCTACCAAAAAGAATGAGAAATGTGCTGAATAAATGCTTATTTAAGTAGGAAGGAAAGGAGGGAAGGATGAAAGAAAGAGGAAAGAAGGAAGGAAGGAAGGGAGAGAGGGAGGGAGGGAGGAAGCAACAGACAGAAAGATAGACAGAATCAGCTAACCTGTCAAAGCCATGGGAAAAAACTATACCTCCTCCCACTGGCAGAACTGGGACCTAGGTGGGGGTGGTAAAGGTGGACAGGGAATCCTCCCCTTCCTTTGAGTTGCCCTCACTTCCAGTCCTGAGGGTGCAAACACAGCAACACCACCATCATCAAAGGCTTCCTGCTTTACCAAGTGCTTCCACATAACAACTCTTCCCACATCCTCCTCCTCACAGCCCTGTGGGCAGGTGTCCCTCCCCCTTCACAGGCGAGGACAAGAGGCCTCAGTGTGAATGAACAGAGAGGAAGTGGAGATGCCAGGAGACCAACCCAAATCTCCTAGCCCACGCATGGTTCCTCAGCAGCCGCTCCCTCAGCCTCAGTGACTCCAGGGGCTCAACTTTCTCCAGGTGGAGAAGCTCAGTAATCCCATCTG